GTTGTCAAAATTATGGTCCATTTTGGGGTACCCTAAATAATAGGTGCCGTATTATAATAGGAACCCAAAAAGGGACCCTAATTTTGACAACCACCCATCAGACACTTAGGGCGTAGGGCGTAGGATTTAGTAAAAAGTTACTAGCCCTATCTTTTGGGCACCGACGAGTACATCATAAACCTTCCAGTTCTTTAGACCTAAACCCTAGAGCCACAAACCCCGAAACCCTAAAGCCTAAGCCCAAACCCCCGAAGCCCATGGATCCACGGCCTCTCAGGTTCACTTGCTTGTGATGGCCAGGGCAGACATCAACGCGCAGAAGATCTCTAGCAGCCCTTCGGCCGCTCTAAGTTTTTGCCAGCTTTGGTTGTGGCTTCAGGGGTTTAGGGTTTAGGGCTTAGGAGGGTTTAGAGTTTGGGGGGTTTGGGTTGGAGCTTTCGTCAGGAACTCGAGGCCTCCAGGGCTTTCACTCTTCATCCCCTGAAGGAGAACATTAGGATATAGGGTCCAGGATTTAGGGTTCAGGGTTCAGGGTTTAGGGCTTGGGCCATGGGCCATTAGGAGATAGGGTCTAGGATTTAGGGTTCAGGGTTCAGGGTTTAGGGCTTGGGACATTAGGATATAGGGTCTAGGATTTAGGGTTCAGGGTTTAGGGTTTGGGGTTTGGGGTTAGGGTTCAGGGCCTCGGGTTCAGGGTTTTGGGCATCGTAAGCCCAGGATCCTTGCCCCCAGTACCCTAACGACGCCAGAACTCGAAAGCCCCGTCGTCATAACACTCGTAAAACAGGAAAAAGACTAGCAACAATAACAAGAAGAAGAAGAATAAGAAGCAGCATCATCATCATCGTGATCATGGTAATGACACAGTAATAAGAATAGAAGTAGTAGTAATAGTAATGATATTCATAATCCTGACAAGACAACAATCGTCAAGACCGCAAGCCTAATGCCCAACATCCCGCTCGAATCCAACACAGTTCCATCGCATAGTGGTCGAAATGTGGATGATTTGCCCTCAAGGCTCTACTTTCATTTGTCCCTAAGATACAAGTGTGAAGAGTACTGTATACCAGCTTCCTGTTAACCATCGTCCCTATAGTATGCTTGTACCAGTATTTACAGCAACACCTTATTCCCTCTTAAACCTTCTACAAGCCTGTGAAAGGCTTGCAAATCCTATAGCCCCTTTCCTCTGTCCGTATCCCTGAGGCACCATTAGAACCTCGCGACACCGTATGGAATCCTCTTCGAGTCTTCTAGGGCTCCTACATTCACCTCAGCGCTACTTAAGGGCTCAGGGACCTTAGTAGGTAGGGTCATAGTTGGAGTTATAAGTCTCCTAAGTGGGGTTATCCTAACTACGACCTTCCTTATATCCTTACCAGCGATTCCCAGAAAGTTGGAACATGGGTTTAGGAGGATTAGTGCTAGGATCCCTGATACTCTATCTTAAGGGCACGAGGAGAGCCATGTTCCAACTTTCTGGCTTCTACTACCCTAAACCCTAAACCCTAAACCCTAAACCCTAAACCCAAGTCCCTTGGGCCTTTTTCAGAGTTCCTCCGGCCCTGCTCCAGAGGTCCTCGCGTGCGCTTGGAGTCCCCGGAACTGGAAGGCACCGGTCCTTGGTGTTCCTATGAGGTTGTCCATAAGGGTCCCCTACGAAAGTTCCATTAAAGGAGCCCTTTTCAAGGATTTCTTATAGATCCCAAAAAGGAGCTCTTCAAGGTGCCCTTGAAAGGATTTCTTATAGATCCTATAAAGGAAACCTTAAAGGAGCCCTGATCCTTAAAGGAGCCCTGTACAGGTCCTGACAAGGCTCCCTCGGAGGGTTCTGATACTTGTACGGGTTATTAAGGCTTCAGGGTTTTGGTTGGCAGTGGCTTTAGGTTTAGGGTTTAGGGTCGGGGCATTAAGTTTACATGGAGGATATTCAATTTAGAGCTTTCGAGCGGACACGCTGCCAATCAGATGCCCGTATCTATTGGTTTGTGCATGGTAGATCTTGCACTTGCTGTTCCCATTTTTACGGCCCCTAAACCCTGAACCCTAAACGTCGTAAACCTACAAGCAGAACCCTGCTGCATCCCCGACCCATAAACCTGGTTCTGGGTTTTGAGCTTGTGGCGTAGGGTTTGGGGTTTCGTTTAGGCCTGAAATCCTGGATCCACCATCCCCACAGACGATATCTAAACATATTACGGGGCCCGGAGGATGTATTCCAATGAAATTTCGTCGGGTTCCTAATATATCTTTCGCACAGAATACTCCAAAGCCTTCTCTCAATCATGAAGTCCCAATGCTAGCTTCCTGGACTCCCCAAAGTCCCAACCACAATTAGGCCTACGTTCCCACGCCTTTCAACCCTAAACCCTACGCCCGACTCCCCTGAACCTTAAACCCTAAACCCTAGAAGGGTTTAGGGTTTACCCATAGGCCCCATAGTAGTTCCTTTTGGGGGTTCATATTTAGAATCCTATAAGGTAATCCCGAAAAGGAACTACTATAGCGCCTATGGGTAGCGTGTAGTACTAATTCCTCCTGCCCTCAGCACACCTGCTGCGGCTTCCCACAGCCTCGCTCAACTGTTGAAGAATGCCCCGAATGCACACCCTGAGCCCGAAACCCCAGGACTCTAGGCCCGAAACTTAGGGGCCCTAAACCCTTATCTATCTATCTATCCATCTATCTATCTATCGATGGGTCTATCTACGAATCTACAAGTATATACCCATGTATCCATCCATCTGTCTGTCTATCCACTTAAGCTTATGATACATGGTGCGCGGACGCCAGAATTAGGCAAGAAATGAACCTGTTGTCCTTAGGCGCGACCCCGCTTTTCATGGCAGCGTCTTGGCTTTAGACTTTATGTTTTGAGGTCTGCGCTCCTGACCAGAAGCCTTAAAGGAACCCTTAAAGAAACCCTTAAAGGAACCCTTAAAGAAACCCCCAAAGCCCCAGGCCATAACACCCTCCATCTTATGCGACGGGGAAGGCCTGAACACCAAGTAGTACAGTGGACTGAGCACTGTTGCTGTGGATTATATTTTCTATGGTATGCCTTACCCCAAAAAAACCTATTAAAACAATGATTGCCGATAATTGAACCCTCAACCCTAAACCCTAAACCCTAATACATGGGTTGACTGGACACGGAGCTTGCAGCCCGAAATCCGATTTGGTACCGGCGCTGAATTTCAGCTTTGATTCGGGGACTGGTCCGAGCAGAGAAACTGAAAAGCCTGAGTAATCCAAAAACAGTAGTCCGATTCCCTCGAGCTCCCGCAAAACCCTAATATAGGGGCCTCAGGAGTTGCCTATACTATTTTGATTTTGGGGGCCCCTTGTTATCATGATGGCATGATATACCCCCAAAACCCTATTTAAGCTATTCAGGCCCCTACATGATTCCAACTTCTAAGGCCCCTATAGCCCCGCGCTCTAGTCGATATCGCTCATCTCAAGATGCATGGTACATGTCTGCTGTCCGAAATGCCATTATACAAAATCCTGAATCTCAACTCCTATGCCTGAAGGCCTTAAGACCTAAACCTCAAATGCCATGCAAGGCAAACCCTAAATCCCTAAAAGTCCCCAAACCTTATAAAGCCCTAAATCCAGGCTTCCACCAATCACCTGGATGTGGTGAAGTTGCCTGGCTTCATCTAAACCCTAAACCCTAAACCCTAAACCCTAAACCCTAAAGATCTTGGGCTTTTAGAGGCTTCAGGGTCTGTCTGATTCTCGACTCTACGAGTTCGGTGGCGTATCATAGAGTTCATGGTTTACGGGTTCTCATTTGCTGGGCAATACCACTCTAAAGCCGTAAAGCCCCAAACTCTGAACCCCCTCTGAGGGTTCAGGGTTTCGGGGTTTAGGGTTTATGCGTTCAGGGGTTTAGGGTTTACGGACGCCAAGGTACTTGATTGCAGCTGGCGCGGACAAGGACAGACGAGCACACGCGCCATGAACAGAGCGACGGGGTTTATGGTTGGGATACGAAGCCTAACTGACAGTATAAACACCCAGACATCCCTAGACCCCAGACCGCACAAACTAGTGCTGTGCCAGCTAAAGTGAGTGCCAGTCTATGCATCAAGAACCGCGGCTAAATTCAGGAACCATGCATGCCTCTATCCACCAAGAGCCCTGACAATTGCACAGCCCTAGACCCTAAACCCAAGCCTAAACCCCTAAACCCTAAACCTCAGAAGCCCTAAACCTCCTAAACCCTAAAACCCAGAAACCCTAGACCCTAAACCCTAAACCTCAGAAGCCCTAAACCTCCTAAACCCTAAACCTCTAGAAACCCTAGACCCTAAACCCTAAAGCTCAGAAACCCTAAACCCTGTACCTCCTAAACCCTCACCCTCAGAAACCCTAGACCACACATCCTAAACTTCAGAAGCCCTAAACCTTCTAAACCCTAAACCCTAAACCTCAGAAACCCTAAACCCTAAACCTCAGAAGTCCTAGACCCGAAGGCTCCCCGCAGCCCGACCGTCCGAATCGACCTGAAGTACCCAGTATGGGGGCTCACCGTAACCATTAGGGTTTAGGGTTTAGGGTTTAGGGTTTTAGGTTTAGGTTTAGGGTTTAGGGTTTAGGGTTAGTAATTCTTCTAAACAGTAACCATAAGGACCATAACAGTAACTCCTACTACAGAAATCCTAAGCCCCAAACCTTAACCATACTAGTAATTCCTACTATAGAAACTCTGAGCCCTAAACTCTAACCATGATCGTAATTCCCACTACAGAAACCCTACTTCCCACTGTCTTTGTACTTAGGACGCTTTGGGAATCTCAGTCGATCAGGACCTCCGGGGACCCTCGACCGGTGCTGATACTCCTCTTTGTACTGCAGCACTGCAAGGCCACGTGCAGGCCCTGCTTCTGGGGATAAGTTGGGGTTTAGGGTTTAAGGTTTTCTATGAGGTCTTTAACTCGGAACCTGATTAAGAAACCTCGGGTCTTTATTAGGGCTCTTTATATGAGGGATGATTAAAAACACCGAGAGCAGTTTTTAAAGTAGATGCGTCCATATGTTGAGGGCAATCGAATTCCTTATAAAACGATAAAAGTAAATAAATGACAGTGAATGTTCGTAGCCTTATAGCTCAAATTATTCAGTCCCGAAGTCCGTTAAAACGATTAGAGTACAAAGCGATAAGCATATTGATGGTCAAGCAAACGGGTGTTTTTTTCACGCACCCTCGTTTTAGTCACTAATTATTGGTCCTACCATACTATGGGGGTTTCTAGGACCAGGGTTTCTGAATCAGCTCCCTACAGTATCTCAGGAGCTCTCATGGTTCTGCAATATGTAATGTACTGCAATGTAATGTAATGTACTGTAATGTAATGTAATGTAATGTATATGTATATGTATATGTATATGTATATGTACATGTATATGTATATGTATATGTATATGTATATGTATATGTATATGTATATATATATATATATATACATACTATGTGTATAGTACATACAATAGGGATCATAGTAAAGTGTGGAGTTCCTTTCCGGCTTTTGGGTTCTTGTTGGGAGCTCACATTGCGAGTAGCACCTCTTACGAGATCATTAGCTTCCTCGAGATCAGGGGCCGGCCCTGCCTCAAAAGACGCGGAGATAACATATGGTTTCGGGTTTGGGGTTGAGGGAAGGATAGTATAAGGTTTATAGGCTTTTGTAAGGATCTTATAGATCGAATAGGGGTTGTTGGGTTTTCTAAAGGGTCTATAGGCTTTACAATAGGCTTTACAATGCGGGCTTTGATGGTTGGAGCAGTTTTGCTTCGAGGGACTGTATCATACTATAGGTATATAGTGACCATTAGAGGACCTTGTTCATAATTATCTGAGCCCGCTCGGGAAATTTTCGGAATCTCAGTGCTGCTTCCAGGCCTCCCACCCCTTGCCTTAAACCCTGAACCCATAAACCAGAAAAAACCCTTTATTCCCAGCCTGTTAAGCGAACCTCGTGCAAAAAGCAGGCCAAATCAAAGAAGTAAAGGGCCCAAGCTTTCAAATTTCTGATTGGTTTCAGTTAGGGGCCTTTCCAAGTCCCGCCGTACTCTTGTGTGCCCAAGGGCTCCAAAACCTCTTAATTGAGGGAACAGATGAAGTATAGAGGGACCCCCAATATGGCTTCAGGTAGAAATTCTTCCCGCTGGCACTCTGGATCCCAACCCTAAGAACTCGCTGCGACAGCGCTAGGGTTGGGGGTTTATGGAGCTCTGACTAACAGCTTCAAGCAAGCACCATCTAAACTTGGAAGGTTCTCAGCACCCTTCTGCACAGCCATGCTGCCATTGAGTCTTCCCTGGGCCCGGAAACCAACGTGCTGCTGCTTGGCTCATAAAATCAATTCAGGAGGGATTCGCGTTCAGGCACGAGTCGGCGTGACTTCGGATCCCGACGCCTAAGCCCAGAACCTGAAACCTAAACCCTAAACCCTGCACCTAAAACCTAAACCCGAGACCTTAAACTCTAAAAACCCCGAAACCCTGAACCCTAAACCCTTCAGGTTTGGGATTGGGATTCCGAGGCTTTTGACCCCTGTGGTCCTTTCCTACTCCCTCCTTTCGACAGAGATGGCCCATAGACCCTACTTCCTAAAACCCGCTAGTATCCTACACCCAAACTCTTGAACCTAAAGCCCTAAACCCGACACCCCAAAACCCCAACAGTACTAGCCGCCTCAAGCCTTAAAGCCCCAACCCTAAACCCCCAAAAGTAGGTAGAACAATGGCCCAACGCTTATAAAAGGCTATTATCCTACATACTTTTACGGTACAGGTAGACCCCAACGACATGACAACCAGGGCAGTGTGCCTCTCGCTCAGCTGAAGGCTGGCAGCCATCGATGCACCCACGAAAGCCTCGCTCCTCACGCTGCTCCAGGCGATTGAGGGGTTCTTTATAAGGATTCCCAAACCCCGAAACCCCTAAAGTCTTCGCTGGGACCGCGGAGCCCGAAGGGGCCCGAGCTTCGCGAGCGGCAGAGAACGCGTCTGCAGAGACTAGGTAAAGCCGGTAAAGCTTGGCGACTGGCACCATGCCTGCCGGCCCCTCGGGCACCTGCCCCGGAGTGGTAAAGGTAGAAACCCTAAACCTGAGGGTTTTTGCTGGCAAACCCTTTCAGCAGGGTTTAACCCCCCCAACCCTTCACGACTTGGAAAAGGACAGGGGTTTGACCAAGTCCCCAACCCTTTACGACTTGAAGCCCGTCTCGGGGACGAAATTCAAGCGCCTTGGGTTTGGCCTCCGGCATGCAGTGCTGCTTGTCTGCCACAACGCCAGGCTCACATAAAGCCGTCGACCGCCGATAGCGATGCCCACGCCCCCGCTGGGATGCCTAGAAGACTTTAGAACTAAATGCGTGAACTCAGAGTGGTATTGGAGTCGGCTGTCTGCTACGCACAGGTGCGAGCGGCCCTGGTGTGCACGCACCAGCGAGCACCCATGACGATACCACAGCCTAAACCCCTAAACCCGCAAACCCCGGATTCCAGCTAGAATCTAGAAGGGCTTTACGGTCAAGTTGTGGGTTTACGGCTCTCGGGGTTTAGGGATTTTGGCGGTAGTTTAGGGGTCGAGGGTGTTTCCGGGTTTAGGGCTTATAGGAGCCTAGGGGTTCGGGGTTGAAGGGTGTTTCGGCTTTAAGTTTAGGGTGTTCGGACTGACCAGCGACACCCGAAAATTCTGCCATCGTGGAGTCTTCAGTAAGCAAACTAACACAAATCACTACCAATAATATTCTTTGGGGCTCACTGCTAGAAACATACTACAATATACACCCCCCAGCTGTTGAAGACACACAGACCCCGGTAATGGGTTTCAGGAACACCTTGTTTTCTCAGCAGGTCCCTACCCTAGAGCCTAAACCCCTAAACCATTAACAACCCCAAACCCCCACACCCTAAACCCTACACCTCAGAAACTACGGGTTTATGCAGGACGTCAGAGGGACACTTCGGGCGATTGCTCTGGCGAATCAAATGCACTTCCACGGCGTGGCGCAAAAACGAAAGAGCAGGACTGTGCGCAATCAACCTTGATCTCCTCATCACCGATCCATTGGCAGGAATGGGCGCCTGATCAAGTGCGCCGCCTTGCGCAGAAGAAGGAGGAGGAGTTGTCGAGGGGTCTGGCGGCCGGTAATAGTAAAGGGCGGTAGCGTTGCAGGTGTGGCCTCAGTCTGCACGAAGGTTTCTGCGATTGGCGCCATAGTGTTGAATATGAATAGATGGCAGCTTTCATGCACCCGTTGAGAACGCCATGGACGGTGCAAATGATCGTTAAGCTGCGTTTCTCAACCTGCTTGCTCATGCTTAAACAAACGTTTCGGTTGATTTGATGACGTGGCCTTTCCGAGTGCCATCTGCGCACGTGGGCATGCCGGAGATAGGTACCTTCATGCGTGCTGACGGGCTTTCGTGTATGCGCCACTGTGGCGTTGACTGTTTTGCATTGAGCTCAGTCATCGTTTGCCCGGTGCGTAGAGGCGTAGAAGGACCGGTTGCACCTCTACGTTCCGCAGCGCGCCCTGCTTGCGTTGATGGATGCGGTGGGTCTCCACGGCCACACAGACGGCTGCCCGAGCCATGCAGTTGCTACATGCAGTTGCGGCCGGTCTTACGTGAGCACGCGTGAGATAGAGGATCCCTGATGTGTTTGGCACGTCTGCAAATCCCCCAGTTCGTAACCAAGTTTTATACGTCCATGTGTAAACTGTCAGTCATATCCAGATTTGGAATATTGTTTGGGAGAAAGGCAATTTTAGGGTGCCGTAGAAATTCAATAACGCACACAATTCACATGATTCAGCCAAATCACGGGGCGCAGGAAAACATAATTACTTGGAGAACCTTGTAGCCGGATATGCAGAGCACCAACGCAAGTAGCATGAAGATCAGGGCACAAGGTGCAACGGGCTGACCTACTGCAACTTTGTCCTGACTGTATTTGGTCCCGGTCCCAAGCGCTTGCGGCACTCCCTGTGCAATACCCCCTCCCTCCTGCGGACTCCTCCCTGATGATACACCTTCTGCAATCGGAGGGCCGTGCAGTGTACGTAAAGCAAGAAATCCGATTTCTCGCGAGGCCACAAACAACTGCCAAGCTTATCACCCTCCTCCGCACCCCACCCCTCCCCTCCGTCCTCCCCATCCCCTCCCCTCCCTCCCCTCCCCTC